GTCCTCCCCTCCTCCGCCTCCGCCTCCGCCTCCTCCTCCGCCTCCTCCGCCTCCTCCGCCTCCTCCTCCCCTCCTCCTCCTCCTCTCCTCCTCCTTCTTCTTCTTCCTCCTCCTCCTCCTCCTCCTCCTCCTCCTCCTCCTCCTCCTCCTCCTCCTCCTCCTCCTCCTCCTCCTCCTCCCCACCTCCTCCTCCTCCTCCTTCTCCTCCTCCTCCTCCTCCTCCTCCTCATCCTCCTCCTCCTCCTCCTCCTCCCTCCTCCTCCTCCTCCTCCTCCTCCATCCTCCTCCTCCTCCTCCTCCTCCTCCTCCTCCTCCTCCTCCTCCTCCTCCTCCTCCTCCTCCTCCTCCACCTCCTCCTCCCCTCCTCCTCCTCCTCTCCTCCTCCTCCTCCTCCTCCCTCCTCCTCCTCCTCCTCCTCCTCCTCCTCCTCCTCCTCCTCCTCCCTCCTCCCCTCCTCCTCCTCCTCCTCCTCCTCCTCCTCCTCCTCCTCCTCCTCCTCCTCCTCCTCCTCCTCCTCCTCCTCCTCCTCCTCCTCCTCCTCCTCCTCCTCCTCCTCCTCCTCCTCCTCCTCCTCCTCTTCCTCGTCCTCCAGGTGGCTCGCGGCGGGCCATAGCCGTTTTGTCCCGCGGCGGGCACGGGGGCCCCGCGCGCGACAGCCCCCAGCGTCGGCCGTTGGCTGGCGCGACGACGGCGGCCGCCGACCGCGAGGGGCCGTCGAGGACGCCAGCGTGGCACCGACGCCTGCGCAGACTGCGGTCGCAGACTCGGGCGCGGCTGCAGCTCCAGAGAGACGTCGAGCGGCTCGCCGAGCACCACGGCAGTGCGCCGCCTCGACACATGCATGCAGATGCTGGGGGGGCGCTGGCGATGGCGACGGCAGCGCGTGGCGGCGCGCCTCGTCCCGACGCATGTCAGCACTGTGGATGCCGCAAGAATGAGACGTGGTGGCAATGGTGCTGTCATTGCAAGAAGCCGCTGGTCCTCGTCACGGTCCGTCCTGCTGGTGCTGGCGGGGGTGCTCATCGTGACCAGCAGCGAACGTCGAGTCGAGACGGCGGCGGCCGAGGCGGGCGAGCTGGCCCACCCTGGCGCGAGACGGCAGGCGGCGCAGTGCCAGCGCGCGCTCAACGTCTCGGGGCCGCGGCGCCAGCAGCCGAGGCGGGGGCCGCGGAGTGCGGTTCGCTGCAGACGCGGCCCCAGCCCCCTTCGACGAGGACCCTGAGGAGGCGAAGCTTGCCCAGTTGGTGGAGCTGCTGCGCCTCAGCGGCGACGGCCCAGGACAGGCCAAGTACCAGGCGAAGCTCGACGCTGTCAGGGCCCAGCGCCTGGCCAGGCCCACGTCGGTGGACGAGGCGCGCAGGGCCAAGGAGGCAGCGGCGGCGGAGCTCCAGGAGGCCATGGTGGAGGCTGACGAGCTGCAGCGGCAGCTGGACGAGGCCGAGGTGCGCGCGGGGGAGGCTCGGAGACCCTGGACCGCGCGACCAAGGCCTACACGGCGGCGGCGCAGGCGCTGGCGACGACGGTGGCGCCCCCGACCGACGCAGCGGCGGTGCCGCGCCTCAGCCTCTCTGCCGTCTTGGCTGGGGACGCCGCTTCGGCGCTGGACGACGAGGGTCTCTTCGGCCTGGAGGAGCTGGAGGGCTATGATGTGGACGACAGTGATCGGCAAGAAGCACAGCGGCGCCGCCAAGAGTTGCAAGACAAGTTCGGCAGCATGGCACGCGAGGCTTTCGGCCAGTTCAAGGCCGACGTGCAGGAGCTGGACCGAGCTCATCGTTCTCGGAGGGGCCGCCCCAGGTCCAAGAAGCGGAGGACCGAGGAGGCCCCCCTGCGGAAGGGGGCGAGGAGGCAGAGCAGGCACCCGAGGCAGCACGGGAGGCAGCCCCCGACGCCGCCGCGCGGCCCCCCGCGGCGTCGCGAGCGGCACCTCCCGACGCCGCGGCACGGGCGGCCGCGTCGACACCACCGCCAGCCCCCAGCAGCGCGGCAGCCAGGCCAGCCGCGAACGTCATGGAGCAGGGGAGAGCCCGCTTGGCAGCTGCGGCGAAGGCGACGGGCGGGCCACCACGCCAGGCCCCCCGGGGCGCCAGGGGCTCGGGACGCGGCGGCGGCGCGGCAGCCTGACCGGCGCGAGCCGCGGACGCGGCGGACCCGACGAGGTCTACGTCGTCGCACCGCGACGGCCGCAGCGCAGCTCGACCGCGCGAGCCGAACGTGCTGAACTACAACGGGCTGGGCTGCTACTCGGGGGAGTGCGAGTCCAGCCACGACTTCCAGAACTACCAGGTGATCGACTGGGCGGCGATCGGCTACTCAGGGGAGAGCCACGGTGCCAGCTGGACGACGCATGCGATTCTGCCCCCCTCGACCCACCCCGCCTGCCCAGGCGAGGAAGGCAACGAAGAGGGCACGGGCCACGCGCGGGCCCTACCATGTCGACGCCGAGCCCGTCGGCATCTGCGGAGGGCGGGCTCAGTCACGACGTCTACGACTACCAGGT